ACAGATCAGCATGACAGCCAAGCAGTTATCATTTTCAGAAGCAGAAATCAGCAAAGGCAGCCTTCATGTTTCTACTACTTTTCTACAAGCCTACTTCAAGTCCAAATTCATACCTTTGTAGTGGATTACTGGAACCATGTTAACTTGTGAATACATCTTTTTAGCACGCCATGGCACATGAATTGTTCCATTCGAAATGATCACACATGACAATGCATAGCAGTATCGCATGGGAAAATGTATGTGGCACTGCATGTTACCAGAATGCATATGTGTGAAACCAGCATTTGGATGTACTGGTCTTTTAGAGAGGAACTCTGGGCAGGCCCAATAATATGAATGAAAAAAATGTAATGCTCAAATTCTCTAGGTTCCAATAGTGATGTCCAGTCCCCTGAAGCCACTCTTGTGTTTCAATCCCTCTTGCTGATGCCATCATGTACAACTCAGGACCCTTGCCTACCATTGGTCCTGCATTGTATTTGATGATAATTAATGCCCAACAACATATCAGTGCAGGAAAGAAGAATACTGTTGTTAAGGGACCAACATTAACTATTTTTAATCCTTTTCCTGCTAGCATTAGTAAATAGGTAGGAAGGTATGTTATATTTACTTGCTTTAAACATTTTTTTTACATTTCTTCAGTTGCTTCCTGGTTTCTGGCATAGGCCAAAATGATGTCATACATTCAGAGGCGTATTTACCTCAAGGCAAACAAGGCACTTGCCTAGGGCGGCAGTTTTCAGGGGGAAAGCACCTCCCCCCCGAAGAAGGGATGAAAGAAGGGACCAGATGGGAACCAGATGGGATCCGAGAGAGGCTGCGAGCTGCTTGATGGTGTATGTAGAGCCTGACTCTCATTCCTGGGGATGTCCAGAGCTGTGATGATGAGTGTCTTTTTCTCTATCGCTGGGGGGTTTAGTGGAAGGCTCTCCCGAGTAGGGGTGTTGTGGGTCAATGTCAGCAAGGGCAGGCTCTCTCCGCGGGAGAGGGAAGGGAGGTGGCATTGGTCGGTGTCCGTGGGGGCAGACGATTTTTGTGTTGCCTAGGGCAGCTCAAAACCTAAATACACTACTGCATAAATTCCAGGAGTCTTCTTGCCTTTTTTTTCTTTCATCTGCAAGAAGGGCTTTCTCACCTAAGCACACCCCCTGCCTGCATGCCTGAGCTAAGGGCAGATGGACTTCAGGAAGTAAAGGCTGCACCAATCATCTGCCCTTACTCAAGATGGTCACAGCTAAAATTGCTAGGGGGGTGCTTTTAAAAGTGATTTCTAAAGAAAATAAAGCATGGAGACATGGATGGATGGGTGAGTTTTTTCTTTGAACAATACAAAAGAATTAAATAGCGTTTTCAGTTTGTTGTGCTCAGATACAGTTTAGTTCCACTTTAAGGTAAGTATTCCACTGTATTAGATGCCCCCTAGACAAAATGAAAATTATATCCTGCATTTGCTGAGAAGAAGGTGGGGGGTGTTATGACTCATTCAAACCATGTCTGTTGAGCTGTGTTGATCTGCACACTTGTTTTCTATGTGTCCTGTTCACACCATACATGTGCAGTGGTGAGCGTTGAATAAAAATGCTGCAATTCAATGCACCAAATATCACCATAATGTGCTGCACTGCACAGAATTGAATGAAGTGCCATTGGGTGGGTCTTCAATAAGGAAAATAAAAAAAGAAAGAAAAGGGAAACAGTGTGCACTTCTGTTAGCTATTGGACTGAAGTGAACAAGCCCTTACTTTGTGTTTTTTATGCCAGCCTAGAATTGGATTTGAAGATGCTCTTGTTACCTGCATTGGTTCTGTAATGCTGTAACATTCAACATTGAGAAAAAAAGACTTAATTGCCGTTAAACAATATAAATATTCTCCCTAAACACAAAGCAAGGAAAACGGTCATAAAGGAAAGTTCTGAAATGCACCATCAGGCGAGCTTATTACGGGCTAGCGATGCTATTTTTGCAGTTATGTGCCTTGGGTCTCGTCAGTCCATGTAAACTGGGTTTGTGATACATTTATCAAAGCTGTGCATGACTTATCAAGCATGCAATCATTTCATTAAGTAATGCCACTGGGTAGCTGGCAGTGATACTGCGTATCCAAAAGGTTCAACCAGGCCTCTCAGTTGTAGCAAATAATGTCATCCTGTGCACGATTGCTTTGTGATGACTGCAGACAGCATCTCTTGTCTACAGAATTTTTAGCTGGGTAATTAAAAGACAGCCCAGACGTAAAATGAACCATATGGTATATAATATCGGGCCACACGTGTGATAAAGAAATGATAACGTATTATAGATATACATGTAATAGGTTATCACGAGCTATGGCTGTGGTATAATTCTGAGTTTCTCAGTTTCCAATTATGTTTTTAAGAGATCAGTCCACTTGAATTGATATTTCAGTTTTTAGTGGTTGATGGAGGATCAAACCACCCGACATGTTCCTATATTTCATGAGGATATTATTGGTGAGATCTCTGCACTGAGTTTCTTGCTCTGCATAGCTGCTGCAGGTGTAATGAAAGGCTTCCACTCTCCCTAATGGATTTTTCATTTGTTTTATATTATGGAGGATGCAACAGGAGGAGCTGGACCATGCAAAGGTGGACAGTCAACAATTATGGCTGGGAGATCTCAACGTTGGAGTATCTAAGACAACTAGTGTAGCCCCAGACCGCAGCACCAACATGACTGCAACCATTCAAACTGGGCTGTCAAAGTTGATGCCAAAGCTGCTTCTTTCCCTCTTCTGACTGCCAGCAAACAGAGCAACGAGCATATGGAGAGCATTTGCAGCCACAGTTGTCAAAGGAGAGCTCTGCCCACCACCCAGGATTAAGAGGACATTGTGCTTGGCTGCAGTGCAGCCTGGGAAAGGAAGACCCAACCAGGAAAATGTAAAAGAGTACTGGGAGCCACTTGGAACTTTGGGGGGGTGTAGTGCCCAGGAGAACTGTTTGGGACTACAAGTCCCAAGAGGACGGTTTTCTGCAGAGAGAAGGAAACCGAAGCAGTAGCCAGTGCTTGATGTGGTCTCACGTAGGGAGTGAGAGGTGCCACTGAGTCAGAGATGTTGCTGTTGCCAGAGCTTGCCATGGGGTTGTGTGGGGCTGTGCTGCCAATTGATCCAGTCAGCTGGAGGAAAGGGATGTCACTGGCTTCGTGAGAGATTGCTGCTACACACTCCAATATCACAAGCTCCAGACACCAGAGAGCGGGAGGAGGCTTCACAACAGACTGCATAGTACTGAGGCTGCTGGCCACAACCTCCCTTTCACCATAACCAATTAGTTTGGGGACTTGCACCCTTTACCATGGCAGCACTATGAGCCCCAATGTTTAGAACCACACTGGTCAATGGAAGAGGTTTTGGAGAGACTCTAGGATCTTTAGTGAGGACTGCCCTAGATTTAGGATTTGGTATCCGGAGTGCATTGGGTCTAGAAATACTTGGTCCTCATATTGTCTTTGTCATATTGTACAAGTTGGTTTTAGTTTGTAACTGTTTATTGCTGTTGCCATTTTTTGGTGCTGTTGCTTGATTGGGTGAGTAGCCCGAATAAATCCACCTTCTTCATCCTTGGTTTGTCAGAGGGTGTGGCATTGCAGGAAGGGTAGTTGTCGTCTGGAAAAAGGGAACCCAAACATCAGTGGCTCTTTTGGGGGTAAGTGCTACACTAGGGCTTCTGGAGACTCGTCCAGCCAACCAGGCTGCACTTGAAACTATAGGTACTATCATTTTATGATGGACTGACCTCCTTATATCAATTTTAGAATACTTGTCTATCTGAATATTTACCACATTATCCATTTCTCAGAAGTGTGACTTGAAGTTAAAATAGTATTAAACTCTCAGCTTTTTCTAGGTTAACATGATGAAGCCCAACTCCAGTGTACTGTATTAAATGCTGGCTTAGGTCTAGGGGACAAAAAAGCTGTTTTGCTTATCTGGTTGCCGCTCCCCATGGCAGATGGTGCTCCCCTATGCTCCAGCGCCTGGACTGTTCCTCACGTCCAGTGCAGGTCTATGGTCTGTGCATTAGTCTTGATGATGTCAGAGTACCTTAGACTGCCGGAGTATGGGGTAGAAAAGACTGTGGGGACCGGTCTAGCAATGCAGAGGAGCTTACAGGAGCAGAGGACTGAATAAGATCGAGTTTATGGGAGTTCAAATTTAAGCTTGCACAAAATAAATAAAATGTTTCATTTTTTCTTCATTAACATTATAAAGCTAACGTTACACCTGTAAAGTGAACCTGTCAGTCTTTTTTAGATCTTAAAATGAAGACTACATTCACATCTAAGTGGTTCCCAGCAGAAAAAACACAGGCATCTATATAAATTATGTCATCTTTATACTGTAATCTCAGAGGCGTAGCTGGGGGGGGCAGGGGGGTACATATGTACCCGGGTGCCAAGGTACAGGGACGCCAAAATGAGGCTTACAACCAGGGGCGTATTTGCCACGAGGCAAACAAGGCGTTTGCCTAGGGCGGCACTTTTTTAGGGGGTCGGCGCGGTGCCGCCGCCGCCGCCGCCCCCTTCCAGTGGAAGGGACAATTAGTACAGGGGCGGGCAGTGGACTGCTGTGTCTTACCTGGCTCCGTGACCCAGTCCCACGATGATCCAGTCCAGGAGGCGCTGCTGGAGGAGGGGTAGAGAGGTCAGCAGGTCCGATGTCTTCTTTTCCCTGGACGTGATGTGTGGGCGGGATGACATGACGCCCCTGTCATCTGGCCACACCCTCGGGATCACTGGACAGCCTATGGCAGCTTGTACCTCCCTCTGTAAGCTCCTCCTCCTCACCGTTGATTGGGCGCCAGAACTGTAGCTCAGGACAGGCACACAGGCGGCCAATCACCTGCGAGGAGGCGGAGCTTGAAGAGGAGGAGCCGAGTGGCAGCACGAAGATCGAGTGAGGGAGCATCCGGAGCAAGTGAAGAAGACAGCTGACCGGTAAGTGTGCTGTGCAGATGGTGCTGCTGCAACCAGGTATGCTGGCTATGGATGGGAGAGGGAAAGAGCCTAGGCTGGAGCAGGGGTCAGCAAGGTAAGTGTCATTGGTGTCAGTGGGAGGAATAGTGCCCCATCACTGATGTGATTAAACGGGGAGGGGGGCTGGGGTGCCAATTATATAGTTTGTCCCCAGGCGCAAAATATCTTAGCTACAGTGGGGATCGAAAGTTTGGGCACCCCAGCTAAAAATTTGTATTAATGTGCATAAAGAAGCCAAGGAAAGATGGAAAAATCTCCAAAAGGCATCAAATTACAGATTAGACATTCTTATAATATGTCAACAAAAGTTAGATTTTATTTCCATCATTTACACTTTCAAAATAACAGAAAACAAAAAAATTGGCGTCTGCAAAAGTTTGGGCACCCTGCAGAATTTATAGCATGCACTGCCCCCTTTGCAAAGCTGAAACCTGCCAGTGTCATAGATTGTTCTCAATCATCGTCTGGGAAGACCAGGTGATGTCAAGCTCAAAGGTTTTAAATGCCCAGACTCATCTGACCTTGCCCCAACAATCAGCACCATGGGTTCTTCTAAGCAGTTGTCTAGAAAACTGAAACTGAAAATAGTTGACGCTCACAAAGCTGGAGAAGGCTATAAGAAGATAGCAAAGCGTTTTCAGATGTCAATATCCTCTGTTCAGAATGTAATTAAGAAATGGCAGTCATCAGGAACAGTGGAAGTTAAAGCAACATCTGGAAGACCAAGAAAAATATCAGACAGAACAGCTCGCAGGATTGTGAGAAAAACAATTCAAAACCCACGTTTGACTGCACGATCCCTCCAGAAAGATCTGGCAGACATTGGAGTTGTGGTACACTATTCCACTATAAAGAGATACTTGTACAAATATGGTCTTCATGGAAGAGTCATCAGAAGAAAACCTCTTCTACGTCCTCACCACAAAAATCATCGTTTGAACTTTGCAAATGAACATATAGACAAGCCTGATGCATTTTGGAAACAAGTTCTGTGGACCAATGAGGTTAAAATTGAACTTTTTGGCCAGAATGAGCAAAGGTACGTTTGGAGAAGAAGGGGCACAGAATTTAATGAAAAGAACCTCTGTCCAACTGTTAAGCATGGGGTTGGATCAATCATGCTTTGGGGTTGTGTTGCAGCCAGTGGCACAGGGAACATCTCACGAGTAGAAGGAAAAATGGATTCAATAAAATTTCAGCAAATTTTGGATGGTAACTTGATGCCATCTGTGAAAAAGCTGAAGTTAAAGAGAGGATGGCTTCTACAAATGGATAATGATCCTAAACACACCTCGAAATCCACGGGGATTACATCAAGAGGCGTAAACTGAAGGTTTTGCCATGGCCTTCACAATCTCCTAAACTCAACATAATTGAAAATCTATGGATAGACCTTAAAAGAGCAGTGCATGACAGACAGCCCAGAAATCTCAAAGAACTGGAAGACTTTTGTAAGGAAGATTGGGCAAAGATACCTCAAACAAGAATTGAAAGACTCTTGGCTGGCTACAAAAAGCGTTTACAAGCTGTGATACTTGCCAAAGGGGGCAGTACAAGATATTAACTCTGCAGGGTGCCCAAACTTTTGCAGACGCCATTTTTTTGTTTTCTGTTATTTTGAAAGTGTAAATAATGGAAATAAAATTATAACTTTTGTTGACATATTATAAGAACGTCTAATCTGTAATTTAATGCCTTTTGGAGATTTTTCCATCTTTCCTTGGCTTCTTTATGCACATTAATACAAATTTTTAGCTGGGGAGCCCAAACTTTCGATCCCCACTGCTATGTCTCTGTGTAATCCTATTTATACAATTACAATGTTCTAAGATGTGTAACAACCAATAAAACACAAACATTTTCTGTATAAAGCAGGAGATCATAGTAGAGGTTGTTAGGGGTTCCTTTGAGCACCAAGGTCCTGTGCCTACAAGCTACAGTGATGAAAATCCCTGCTCATGTTCAGTTTAACATTTCAATTAGACAAAGTATGCCTAAAAGCAGGTAGCATTGACTGTACTGTTTATTTGGATAACCTAAGCATGGTTTGTCTAGTCTTAGATTAAACAAAGCTCAAAAACTCAATGACATTAAAAAAAATATATGGACCCCAAACCATAGCATACCTTTAACCCCTTCAATACCGGGCACTTTCACCCACTTTCTGCCCAAGCCAATTTTCAGCTTTCGGTGCTGTCGCACTTTGAATGGCAGTCATGCAACACTGTACTCAAAATACATTTTTATAATTTTTTTCAGACAAATAGAGCCATCTTTTGGTGGTATTTATTCACCACTGGGTTTTATATTTTAGCAAAATAAACAAAAAAAATCCAACATTTGAAAAAAAAAGTTTCTTCGTTTCTGTCATAAAATTTTGCAAATAAATAGATGTTCTTTATAATAATATTTCTTTTGTGAAAATAACCCAAATTGGTGTTTATTATTTAGTCTGTAGGAAAGGTTTAGAGTCCACAAACTATGGTACATATCTGAAAATTGATCAATCCTGATGCACTGACGGCCTGTCTCATTTCTTGAGGCCTGAAAATGCCAGGACAGTACAAATATCCCCCAAATTACCCTTTTTTTTAAGTTGTAATTTTTTGTCACAATTTTCTGGAAAATGAAGACATTTTCAAAAACAGTTTTTTTTTTTCACCAGTGCAGTACAGCATTATCATATAACTGGTGCGGTTTTGAACAGGAACACTGACTGGTGACGGTATTATATATTTTTTTTACATTTTTTAAATAGATTTTTTCTTTTTTATTATTTTTTTTTCTTTTTTTTTTTTAAGATCACATGAATGAATGCCGTCCACGGTGTACAATTGTCTTGTGATCTGCTGTGATTGGTCACAGTAATCACATGGTACTGGCAGCGACCGGTACACTGATCGGTCATCCACTGTGTCTGGTGGACACAGCAAGTGACAGATCATGCTCCAGTGCGGCTGTGGAGCAGGCACAAGATGCGTTCCGGAGACGACACCATATGATGTCAAATGAGGACCTATTGTCAAATGATGTCCTGGCAGGAACTGCTTAATTTTTGAAACTCTTCCTTTTAGCACCCATTTATTTATTACATTTATTTTTATAGAACTGGAAATTTACATTATATTCATTAACATCAGTTTCTGTCCTCAAGAAGCTTACTATTGAAAGCCCCAATTTCATGTTCATACACATACTAGAGTCAATTTACCTACCAGCATGTCTTTGGAGTGTGGGGAGAAACCACGGCGTTCAGAGGAAATACACACAAGGAAAGAACATGCAAACTCCATGCAGACAGTGTCCTGTGTGTGATGCAAACCAAGGACCTCAGTGCTGTAAAGTGGATGTAAATCCACTTTTGTATCTTTTATCTACAGGTAATAGGCTCCATCCACACTGGCCGTTTTAATAACGCTGGTAACATTAACTGTGTAAAGTAACATTATAAATGTGAGTTTTTCAATGTTTTTTAGAGTTTTTGCATTAGCGTTTAGTGGTGTCTTTCTGCGTTTGCGGATTTTAGCTGTTTTTTTTTACCAAAAATAGTCCAAAAACACAGATTTGCCGTGATTTACCATGTTTTAACCGCATTTTGCTGTGTTTTTCAGCATTAGAGAATTTTTACAGCTAAGTCCTCATGCACACTGGGCGTTTTTACAGCAGCCGTTTTTGGCTTTTAACGTTTTTTTCTGCAGCCAGTAAACCCCCCAGCATGTTATCCTATGTGTCCATGCACACATAGACTTTAATCAACGTTTTTTGGCTAGGATGTTTTTTGGCTGGAAAAAAAACCCAGGACTAGTGAGTTTCTAGAGGAGTTATTTAGCTGTAAAAAAACTCTCTAATGCTCAAAAACACAGCAAAACATGGTAAAACGTGGAAAAACGCAGCAAACCAGAGTTTTTGGATGTTTTTTGACCAAAAAAAAGCTAAAAACCGCAAATAAGGAAAACTGTGGGGAAACGCCGCTAATTGCGCAAAACACAAAAAAAAAGCTGAAAAACGCACGTTTTTACCGTGACTTTACACAGCTAACGTTACCAGCATTATAAAAACGTCCTGTGTGCATGAGGGCTAAAAAAACTCCTCTGGAAACCCACTAGTTCTGGGTTTTTTTGCAGCCAAAAAACATCCCTGCCAAAAAAAACGCTGATTACAGTCTATGTGTGCATGGACACATAGGATAACATGGTGGGGAGTTTACTGCCTGTAAAAAAAATGCTAAAAGCCAAAAACAGCCGCTGTAAAAACATCCCGTGTGCATGAGGACTAAGGCTGGTCATACATTATACAATTTTCTTGAGATTTTTGGTTTAGATTTACCAAAAACCATATAATAGGAGGTCAAACCTAACAACACTTTCAATTGTATCCAATTAGGCAGGCTCTTGTACTACATAGTTGAAAAGGTAATTATAAAGGAAATTGGGTAGAAATTGGACAGAAAATTGTATAGTGTATGACCAGCCTTAAGTTTACCTGTAGGTAAAATGATTATCTCCTAAATGTGCACCATTTAGGAGATATTCACTGTTTTTGACAGCCGCCGGTGCATGCATTCCGAAGGAATGGCATACCCATGCTGATCCTTCAGAGCACTGTGACTTGTCTCAAGACTCTCGCGCGGGAGTGATGTCCTTGCGGCTCGGCCAGTCAGACGGCCGGAGCTCACGAACCTGGAAAGGAAGACTGGGTGAAGATGGAAGCCTCTACATTGGGGACAGCATGCCGCTAGAGGGCTTCGTTTTAAGGTAAGTTCTGCATAATGTGCTAATATGCGATGTATACTACTAGCACATTATGATTTTACCTTCCAGGGGATTTTTTTTTTTTCAAGCTGCGATTTACTACCACTTTAAGGCAGTAGCGCTAACCACTAAGACATCTGATGATTTTTACATCCAAAAGCATTTGAAAAAATCATATATGTGTGGCCAACACAAAGCCAAAGGATCCAATCAGATTTCAAATTCATTATTTCAATAACTTGTTAGTAAATAAAAGGACATTTCTACCTGTTGTGAACAGACCGACAGGCACTTCACTGTCTTTTAGCACGCTGAGACCCCTAACAAATTGTTTTGTACAGTGCTACAGAATATGGTGGTGCTATAAATACA